CCTCCGGTAAGTTCATGAAAACTGATTTGTCTTTGTTCATATATATATATATATATATATATATATATATATATATATATATATTATTTGGTGCACACGTGCAACGCACGTGTGATCCATTTTGTATTTCATTTTTTTCCCTCTTCATTTGTAAGTTATTCTTTTCTTCAATATTGAATCAATTTGGGAATATGACGAAAGGTGTATGGAAAAGCAAAATATAAATAAATGAGCAAAGTGACAAAATTCACTTGAAATAACAAATGATTGTACTCTTACATCCATTGCTAGAAATGAAAAACAAACATGTCCTTAGAGAAAGTTATTTTAACAAACAAGGAAACACTTTGGGAGAAAAACATTGAAATAGACCGGAAGTAAGAGATAGCTAGGATTAGAGGGGGTTTGAGTCACATTAGGCTACAAAAGTCAATATATTAAATAGAACTAAAATCAATGAGTCGATTATAAACCCCACCCCCAATTCAAAAAAAATAACACTTCTCTTTGGCCTTCGTCACCAACCCAAACAATTTCATCAACCCTTCTTAGAATGCCATTGACCCTAGTAACATGAAGGGGCTACTTGAGCGTTTGTGCTTGCAGGATTCTTGCCATTTGAAGAGCTTTCATGTAGCACTTTTATAATGTTGTAGGCAGATATTGAAAGAGAAACTTGACTCCATCAAGTTGTGACCTGTATCAAAAGAATTAAAACTTAATTATGCAAACGAATGCTATTAGGCCAAAAAATAACCTCTAAAATTCTACATCAACGTACCACAACATCAAACATTAACTTCCTTACTGTAAACCTTAATTAAATTTTTTCCCGCCTTACTTTCACTAAGCCGCAAGGTCTACCATTGGGCCATTGATAATAACTGAGAAATGCATCATTGCCATTAGCTTTCAGGAGGTTTTTGTGTTCATCTCAACTCATTTGTTTAACAAGTCTAACATGTCCACTCATTTGGTGTTTGAATCAAGACAGTTCCATTGCAAAACTGCCCCCTCTCATTTCTCTTCATACGCATGTGACTTATCCTCTCCCTCGGTTACTCCGTAACGGCACCCTCACCAGTGACGTTCGGCGGAGGAACGAAGATTGCGAGGTACTTCAATAGGATCAAAAACGTACCTTCTAGCTTAGCTTTGCTCCCTTCTCTACCCACTGTCTCCATGAATCGATTTCGTATTATACCCATAATAAGAATAGGTGCAGTACATGGATGCATACAATATTGTGTACAGTAAAATTAGAACCACAAAATTGAGATTGTACCAAATCATGGGCTGCAAAACAAAGTGGCATACCATATTTTTGGTTTGTGATTTACCTCACAAAATGACAATATCATTGCTTCAAACATGAAGATGCAATATAAAAAATTGAAAAACAGTACCACCATTGAAAAGAAACATTCAACTTCCAAGGGCATGTAATAATTCAAAATGTCTTCAATCACATAGAACTTAAAAATAAAAAAATAAATGTTGTCATCCCTTATAAGGTGCGTAAACCTTTTGTAAAATACATCAAGTATGCTACCTATTCGTAGATTGACTCAAATTTTACAAAGTGAAGTGATAATAGACAAACAAAAATTCTTAAGTTGTTTCCTGAAAACTCATGGACTGACCCGCTAAAATATTCCAAGTTTATATTTCTTTTTCCATCTCTTCATAAATATAGATAACATAATACAAAAAAGAGTCAGAATGAGATATACCTCTTTCTTCAAAAGATTATCCAGTTCGTATTTGCAATCATCTAATTTTCTAAGATTGGATCTGTCAACCACCCACATCAAACGATCAGTTTGCTCAAAATAGTTCCTCCAGTAAAATCTTATAGTTCTTTGGGCCCCCTCCCCCCAAAAAAAACATCCCATATGTTAAGCGTATATCTGTCAATATTAGGTCAATTATCAATGAATTGCATTAAAACAAGAAGTAATCATCAATGGTTCATTCAACTTAACAATCAACATAACCAAGTAACCATAACCTAAAAAATTAGAAGACCCTTAATTTAAAGGATCTAATCTAACAAACTAACATGAAATGATATTGGGTCCAACATTGAAATTTTAGAAATAGTGAATTTTCAATAACTCAAATAGCAACAAAAGTATCCACCACCTATGTTTGACAAACAACACTGAGTGATTGTAATGGAAATTTAAGAAAAGAGCATGCTTGTTGTAAGTCATGGCTTTAATGTTGAAATATATATTTATGGGAGAGGGGAGTATTTTGATGAATCCCATTTGAATTCCATCCCTCAATATATTTCTTTCCATTCAATTATCTCAACTAACAATTTAGCAAACACAAAAACGATATCATTAGCTTCACAATTTATTCCCAATAACCCCATGAACTACTTAGCAACCATCTAAGTAAAACAAAGAGAGAGAGAGAGAGACTTACAGATGATATCACCTAGTTGAAAGGTCTTAGTAGTATAGCCCATTGATATTGCCAATGGTGGTCCAACCAATGGAACCATGCTTGAATTGTAACATGAAGATAAACCAACATGACATTAAACTTTTATTTAAGGATAGTTCATTGAAGCAATTTGTACCTTCGCTTACTACCCATAGTGATGATGACAAGCTAGCATTTGAAGAAATTTGAAGCATCTTTTAGAAGATATTGAAAGGTATTTTGATTTTGCACAACAGTAATACTTTTAGCGAGAGTTGCACTCTCACCACGAAAGCCACCAATGTGGGAAATTAGAATAATGTAAATGGAATTCACATGTAAGTAATAAAAGTATCAATAGCTTTATAACTTTAGCTAATGTCTACTTGTTGTGGTATGAGGGCACTTTTAATATCATCAGTATAAATCCCACACATAGAGGCTTCAAGGCAAAATTTACAATAATTGAAGAAAAAAATGCACCTTTGACACAAAGATGATATCATCTATATTTAAATCGGTGATGATAAATGAAGTAATCAGTTAGTAGCCGGCTAATAGAAATTGGCTACTAAGATAATATCCAATATTAAACTTCATGAGTGATTAATCGAGGTGACAAATTAGGAGCACTACCACAATGTTGTAAACACCAAGTCTTCTAGTACCATCTGTAATAGAAATAGAAACAAGGAACTGAAGTTCAACTCTAGTAATGATAGAAAGTTTTGTGATCTCAAATAAAGGTTGAGGCATGGGTGGTTCATTGATTTTAGTTATTTGTGCATTTAAATATCCCACGATGTGAGTGGAAACAATATAAAGTCAATGTAGATGCCATTAAAAAACTCAACTTATTTAAAATAAAATGCAAAGCATGACAAAATTTGTTTTATACTTGATATCTACATGTGCATGATAACTAATTTATTGCTAACACAGGGCTGTCGTAACCTATAGAAACAAAGAATTATTTTCAGCCCCATATTGTTAAACGACCAAAATCAATGCCCCAGTTGGCATACTATTGACAGAGGGACCTCAAAAATGCTCTTTCATATTTTTTCCACATGCTAAGGATAAGTTCATGACCACCTACATATCAACAACCAAAAGCATGTGAGAACGAAAATGCTCAAAGCATCTGAGAAAACCTTTTAACATTTAGGAAAATACAGACCATTGAATAAGAAAGTTGCCTTCAGGAAAGAAAGCTAGTGTCGTCTCTGTTGACAAACCAGCATATTCAAAGGCACTAAAAAGGCATGAAGAAACACCAAGTCCCCCAAAGAAAATTAAAATGTATGTGCTAAACTGAAAGAAAATAAACTGTAGGAGAAAGCTTATCAAAAGTCTCGTTCCTTGACCCATGACAAACTCAGCCCAATCTTGGTTTCATGGCCTAGAAGTAGTTTATGGATCATCATTTCTTTGAGACAAAGCTCTGGTTCCAACAAAACTTCCAATCCAATAACAATTAGGACAACTTCAATTCCATCAGTGATCATCATATCAGCATCACCTCGATGGATGTGATGGGCTACAACATAGAAGCAATATTTGCATGCAGCACAAGCAGGTGAAATTGAATAGTTTGGTCCCATAAAACAAAGATCAATTGCAAGGCAAAACCCATGTTTTTTATAGCATAAGGCATTAAAAAATGGTGTATTTTCCTGTAAGCTTTCTTCAATAGAGCCTGAACACCATTAAAAACTATAAGATCATCTACCCTTGTCCCAACAAGCACACCAGCTCGCACCTTTTTTTTTTTTTGTTAAAAAAAACATTAGAGTAAATGATACAATGAGTAAGCATCACAATGTTGTCATTATATCAAGGATGGCCCATAAAACATAAATTTTTAAGAAAATTAATTGACAAAATGAGAAAAGATGCGAGAAGAAGGAGAAAAAATTGAATGAGATCAACCAAAAATTAATTCTACGTGTACTTCAATTGTTTCATTACTGATCCATGATGTAATGTACATCAAAATAATGACAAAGAGCTTCCTTTTACAGGCAACCACAATTCTTTGAGGCCATTTGAGGAAAGAGTTTGCCATGGTTGTACAACATTGGTTACATCAACTAATTTCATGGCTAACTAATACCAGCTCTCCTAAATGAAAGAAACAATACAATTTAAGATCAATCAAAAACTATTTACAATCGAAAGAAGACAGCAATAATAAAGTACTTATCTTATTTACTTCTCTAAAAATGAAGAATTGTTAAAAATGTACTAATTCATTTTTATCCAAATTTTGATAGCAAGATGTTGGGACGACTTTCTTGTTAGGCCGTCCCACTCATACTCAAATTGTTACCCGCTTACAGACGATCTAATTTTATAGAAACAATGATTCAAGACTCGTGTTCCAATTCAAACAACAATCACATTACGCCACTAAGCACAAAATAGGCAATTGAAAAATAATATAACCACTTAAAAATAAACGAAAATGGGGTCCCCAAGATTCGTTGTGAAAATATTCAGACCCTTATAGGTGGGTGATGACAATAGAATTCCAACAATTTGACCAAAAATAGTTGCTTAAGATGTTCTCAAGGAGAATAGCTTGGGGGAAAAAACAGGTTCTTAAGGTAGTTTATGTGATGTTTAATTGCATAATCACGGAACATCTAGCGATTTCAAACTCCAAGTGATTGCAAGCTATGGAGCAGCAATATGACAAACACAGTGATCACCAACTTGACAAGATGAATTAATAATTCCTTGAAAATATCTCAATGGGGCAAAACCATGCAAAAGGCTAAAAATTAGTTTTGAGCCAAATTGCCAAAAAGAACAACTATATTTTGTTATCCTTTTATCCATAAGCAGGATGTAGCCTACAAACTGCTATAGACAAACAAAGTTTTCTCTAGAGCAACCCAAAGGAACGATACCATGTCAAGGTGTAGGAGTACAATATGAATATAACATAGGAACATGATGTCACCGAGGTACAGAACTAACTCATACTAGTTTAAAATGGCAGTCTTACTTATTAGTCTAAGTTGTTTAAAAGCGTCAATCTCATGTTAATTAACTGTTGCATACATGTATTTTGGTGTAATGAATTTTCATAATTTTCCCCCTTCGCAGTAAGTTGTTGATATCAGTCATCTAGCTGGAAATCCACTGTTCAGCATGAGTTGCGGCAGAGCAAGAATATTTTGTTGATAAAAAAAATATTCCAATCAAAAGTATGGATTCTTTTTTTGTCGGACCGTCCTGGCTTTGCCTTGATATTTTGTCTTCCCTTGAAGAACACCTCAAAATTATGGATTCTTTTTTCGTCTAGGTTTTGATATGAGGATTGAGTTTCTACAAATACGGTAGATTTCATGTAAATTTAGAAACAAAACCAAAAAAATTAAAATTAAACCCAAAATCCATTCTAGCATAGAAACAAAATGTAGATCTACAAAGGAACTGTGGGCAGAACGTATAATACAATACAAGTAGAAAGAGAATTAATACCTGTTCAAACAAATTTTTTTGTTGAGACAGAGAAGATTAAGTGGTCGATTTGGGATAACGAACCGGTATATCGCCAGGCAAGTATGTCTGGTTCCCAGCTTGTCATCAACTTGGTATTGACATGACGGAGAACCATTTTCATGGGAACCATCTTTGGGGGTTAAGCCATAAGGTATTGGCATGGTTGAGAAACCAATAAGTCGAGTGGTACATTTGATAAAAGATATGAAGCGTCTGTAACAGTAACCATTCCAAGAGTTTGTAACTGTCACAATTGCATTATCTATGAAGTCACAATAGTCATTATATAATTTGGTAGGGATAATTTAGTCGAATGAAATTTTTTCATTTATCTTGACTTTTTAAAGTAGTATATATATATGTATGTATATATATATATATATATATATATATATATATATATATATATATATATATATGTATGTATGTATGTCTGTGTGTGTGTGTACGCACCTGCCACTGTTTCGTATGAATTTCCTGTTGTATAATTCCAGGGGAAGAAAAAGGAAGGAAACGCTGCAAGATACATCACTAGATCACAAGCTGTCAAATCCCTTCAAGTCAGTCTATCACTCTTCAGGTATATATCTCTCTCCTCTAAATTCTTTATCTCTGGTTTCTTCTGAATTATTTTCCCTTTTGGTTGCTAAGGATCCTGCTGAAAAGAACGTAAAGATGAAAAGTGGGACCATGCTTGGGGTTGTTTGAAATTAATGAAAACAACAATAAGAAACCAGCTCAACTCACTGTTGACTGTTACCAACCTAGACGAGTTGAGCTTATCCATGTGAGAGAAATAGAAAGCAGAAATGAACCTTGAATTTAGTATTATTATTCTTTGTGCAGCCGATTAGTACATGAGTGTTATTGTCATCTTGCAGAGATGCACTTTGCTTTGGATATTTAGTTTCTTTATATGATTGGGGTCCTGCAAGAGGTATTTGGTAAAGATTACAAGGAAAAGTGTTTTTCTTTTTGGATGCATTTGATTTAGGAATTCTAGCACCCAATATTTCAAGGTTTTTCTGATAATTTATCTATGTCTAGATGCATGCAATTTTTTTGCACTCCTGAGTATATATAATATATGATATACCCTTTAACTTCATTGAACTTCGCGCTTGAAGTTTTCCAAAAGTGAAAAAAGAAAGAAAGGAAACTGACACTATCAACTGAACTAATATCTATTTGATCTAAAAAAAACTTACAGGAAGTTATGCATTCTCAAAGGTATCTTTCCCCGAGAACCAAAGAAGAAAGTGAAAGGTAATCACCACACGTATTATCACTGGAAAGATATTATGTTCCTTAGACTTGAGCCATTACTTGAGAAGTTTAGAGAAATGAGGGCATATGAGAAGAAGGTAAAGAAAGCTATTTCAAAGAAGAATAGGGATCTTGCTGAACGTCTATTGACTCGCAAACCTTCTTACACCCTTGATATGCTTATTCGAGAAAGGTTGGTATGCAGTTTCCTTCTATTGAGTCAATTTTCCTATCACCAATATGGATTATTTGAAGATTATTATTTACGTTCACTGATGCAGTAAGGGATTTGGATGACTGTCTCAGCATGGTGCACCTTTTTGCTGCATTGCCTGCAATAGAGAGGGAAAAGATTGAAGTGAAAAGTGTTCATAATTGTCGAAGGTTGACATTTCCACTATATTCAAAAAAATTCCTGGGACTCATATTAAATTGATACTGTCTGATTATGTACTTGTCTATGTCTTAATTGCAATATGTGTACTTGTGCATTTCATCAGAAATTTATCAGACTTTTAATTTGATTTGTTTTCTAGGTTGAGCCACGAATGGTAAGCCTGTATTTCATGCACTCATAAATTACAGAAAACTTTCATATCTGTGAAAGGCATTTATTACCAGGTACTTTGGCAAATGGTGGATGCATTTTTGTTTTTTACAAAGTATGTGAAAACATGGTGTTCCCCCCAGCTCACCATTACTGTGCCATCCACCTGTACAGGCAGAGGTTGAGGGGCAAAAGATCACTTGGTTAACTCCTCATGCATCACAGCAAGTATTGCCTGAAGATGTTGACTTCAAAATCATGCTGACTTTCTTGGAATTTTATGAGGTCAATTTTTGTTTACTTTCATATTTTCTTCATGGCTAGTTGTTTCATAATCTTGTTATCTTCCCATAGTTGTTTACTGTTTTCTTTTGATTGCAGACTCTCCTTGCATTCATCAATTTTAGACTTTATCATTCAATAAATGTGAAATATATCCACCCATTCTTGATCCTCGGCTGGAAGCTTTAGCAGCAGGTATGGTTTTCACTCTCCATTTACTGATCATTTGTTAATTTAAACTCTAGTTTTTGCTACTTCAACATCTTCACATTATTCAGTCATTAGCTTTAGGAGTTATACATGCTTTCATGTATCTGGAGCTAGTGGTTGGTACTAAAGCTTTGTTAAGTAGAGTGATCGTGAAAAAAAGCTTTGTTGAGTAGACCTTGAGTTGATATCTATTGTTATACACTTTATTTTACTATATTTGACCCTTTTGGAGGTGTGCAGATCTTTATGCTTTGTCAAGATACTTTGATGCCAGTTCTAAAGGCCCCACGGTGGGATCACAGGCGGATAGTTCATGTGGATATGAGCAAGTTGAGGACAAGCAAGCAAGTGCAAAGCTTGATGAGTCTGAACTTAGACTGGCCCAACCTCAGCATCAACTTCCCTTCAATGAACCTGGTGCTTGATGCACCTTGTTGAAGATGCTGCAGGCAAGGATGAAGATGATGAAGAAACGGGGGAATGTAAAAATATCTTCAAAAATATTAAAATCTTCTAGAGTAGTGAGGTGAGATTTATTGTTTGTCATTTGGAACTGTAGTATTTCATTAGGCTGTTTCTTCGCCAATAGATAGGATTTAAATTCTTATTGTTTTGCTTTTGTCATCTCAGTCTTTCACTTTTGTGCCATGTTGTAAGATTTGTTTCTTTTTTTGATGGGCTTCCCTTGCAGACATTGTCCCTCATTTTAACGTTAATTGGGTTCGTACTAGTTTGTTGATACATACACACTTTTTCTTGTACTTTGCCCTGTCCTGTGTTATGTATATGCTTCTTGCGCTCCTAATGTGATTTATGTTGCAATGCTTTCCTTTGTCTCTTTCTTACTTCGGGTACATTCTTTGTGTCTTTATTTTCAGGTTCCTAGAGATTCATTGCTTTTTGTCATTCCTGCTTTTGGCGGTGTGGTTTCTTGGGAGGGAGAAGGAGCTCCACTTGAGGAATCTGACCAGAGCATTACTCATCAGGTCTCCTATCACAAACACAATTATGAGAATTCTTGTATATTCAGAAATGCATATGATGAAAATAAAACTTGCTATCACACTTTTATGGCATTGCTATCCTGTAACCTGGGGGAAGACCTTATAGTTTGATTTGTCTATTGTGCTCTTTGTTTGTAAATATGGTGGCCTATTAGACAGATCAAAGTTGAGCCCGATGAAGCGGAATTAGTGAATTCAAATATGTGCTAAGCCCTCTTGATTTCCTTTGGCAAGTATCATTTTTTAGCAAGGAAAAACCCCTGGATCAATCTAATTGCTTTAGCATACTGTACTGAATATTGAGCTCTATGTCTTTATGTAATGTCTATTTGAGACGCTGAAGGTACTCAGTTTACCTCGAAGGAACTTGATTAGTTTAAGTTCCCAAAAATCCTAATTTAACAAATTATAGTTTGCACCTAATTTCTGCTTATATTTCATTTCCTTCTCTTCAATTTCTACTAATTTGATTAAGATGCCCTGTTGCAAAATTTTCTTAAGATAGCCTCCAAAATGTTAGAAAATCAATCAATTTTGAGTTAAAAACATTTTCAATATTTCAGCTGAATATGAAAGGTTCCTCTCTTCTTCATCTTTTTAAGCTTTAAGTTAAAACCTTCTTTTTCATTGTTCTCATTTCACTTTTAGTCTAGAAAAATGCAATCCCTTGCTTATATCTTCTCTGTGACGATATTTTTCATTTTCTACGTTTAAAAGATGTACAAGTTTGAATGTTGGCTCTATTGTTAAGGCATTGGATCGGATTGGGAGAGTTTTACTTTCAAATCTTACCTAGATAAAGACTTACTAAAGAAGTTTGTTTTGATGGCCCACTACATGTCTGACATGTATGGAAGCTTATGTTGGAGGTGTGATGTCTCTGCAAGGTGGTTGACGCTGTTGGTTTTTCTGTAGAAGTTTCGATGCTGCTTTAAGTTCCTATAAAAAGTAAAGCTTATATTGAGGTTCACGTGTATTTATAGGTCGTTTTTCGTGCAGGTTGTTGACAAGCCAACGCAGGGCCGCAGGTTTCTTTCCAGAGAATATGTTCAGCCACAGTGAGTTTACGATTGCATAAATGCACGTATCATGTTGCCGACTGAGGACTATATGGTGGGCGGGTAAATTTTAGGAATACATCATATGCTTCGACTTTTTGTTTTTGCGTGTTGCAAGTGTCCATGGATTTTTCTCAGTTGGCTTTCTTGCCTGGCCAAAATTAACTTTTTAAGTGAAATAGTAAAGAAAGACGTGATAACTTATGGTTTAATAAAAACATGGTTCTTGATAGAACACAATGACGAAAGAGGTTTCATGTAGACGACCCCAAAAATGTTGGGACAAGGTTTTGTTGAATTGAGTTGAGCTTACCTGCCTGGCCTTTACTATAATATAATGATATGCGACAGTTTGTACCTTTTGTGTTTGGCAAAATAGTTCAAGCACGTGTTATAATTTTCTTGAGGTACTTATAGTGATTTCTGATTTGTGGGTCTCCAAGTTCTTTGATGCCAGCAATGTGTCATTTTTGAAAGCTATATTCTTTCATTTTTATGATTACATTGACTCACTGTGTCAAAAACCCAAAAAAATTGGTTTGAACAGGGTTCCTCCGCCACATTTATCGCGTTTGTTGACAATGAGGCAGAAGGCTATGTTCCTGAGTATGCAGAGACCATCAAACAGCTGCAGGCTGCTGCAAGAAAAAAGTTCTTCCAATACCAGGTGTGGGAAAAGAAGATTTGGATGATCCTCAGAATGTATTGGTCGAAGGTATTATCAGCCGGGCTGAAGCTATTGAAGCTGCCGAGAAAAAGGGGAACGTATAGTCTCCCATTGGATCTTAATTAGCTGTAATATGGATGGTGATGGTGAAACAGAGCTGGATCATGCAACCCTGCCACTTCATTGGCACAAAAACTTGTATTGTCATTGTTAGAATGGTTATGTAGATAGTTATATGGATTCACTAAAAATATAAGCATAAAGACCTGAAAGAAGAACCAGTTATTCTATTTATATATAATGATGATAAATTCTTTGAATGATCTATGGACCATCTGATATATTAAGCAAGATAAATACTTTGAATGAATCCTTTTTTGATTCAAAACCTTACACGTGTTGCCACGTGTATCCCAACATGGTTTGGTCCAAACCATGGTTAGCATATTCGTGGTTAGGATGAAACCCGTCCCATAAATATCAGCAACCCCCAAAGTTGTAAGCAAATTGGAAACAAATTGCTTGGTCTCTCTCTCTCTCTCTCTCTCTCACACACACACACAGAGTTAGCGACAGAAGAGAGAAGAAGATGGGACTATATAACTATCTAAGTCCGGGTGAGGGGGTACTTCCGGTGCTGGTGATTAACACAGTATTGTCTGTGGCTCTTTTGAAGAACATGGTGAGATCATTGCTTCAGGTGGTGGGTAGTGCCACTGGGCCACCACAAAATTTAGAGGCAGACCCATCACGTGATGGCTCTGAGAATGGAATAGCAAGAAGAGTGTCGATTATGCGTTACGAATCCTTGTGTAAAAACATGTCTGGTCTCGCCGGAACTAGTAGTGGCAATGGCAATATGTGGTCTTCAATAGAGTGTTGTGTGTGTCTGTGTAAGTTTGAGGGTGATGACAAGGTGAGTGAGTGAGTTGTCTTGCAAGCATTTATTCCACAAGGGTTGTTTGAAGAAGTGGTTTGAAAACCAACACAGCACTTGTCCTCTTTGTCGTTCCATCGTCTAAGTACTTGGGTTAGTGGGTGGGGTTATTCCAGGAATACTTTTCCCACTTCGTACCTTTTTTACCCACCCATGTTTGTGGAACAAATTACATAAGATAGTGAGAGACAATCTTGCTGTGCTCAGTGTGTGCGTGCAATTTGAAGGAATAATGGGAATAAAGAATGAAGGGTTTTAGTGTTATGTCAGATCTTTGTGACCTGTAACCGTAGGAGCAGACCCTCTGCTGAGTTCAATGTTGGTTTCTACATAACTAAATGACTATGGGATCCCGAGTGGACTCAATTCAATTCAACTTAAATGAAGTTTTCTCCCAATATTGTTGAGGTTTTGTTACGAGTTTTACTCGGGTATTTAATTAGATGAATAGGTGAAAATGCTAAAGGTTCTGAATTTTAGAAGTGAGGTTAGATTGGATTGAATACTATTGAGATTCTCAACAAGATGAAATTAGAATGTATTACTAAAGAATGTTAATCACAAACTTGTCATCTTTTAACAGTGCAATAAATACCATAAATGCATAAGCCACACAAGCTCATCATAAGACATAAATTTGATGGTGAATCACTCTTGTTGCCTAAATGAAGCAGTGTACTGCTGCAATATAAAGCAGCCATTTCCTTGAAGTTTCTATGTAGGTTGAGGAGAAGTCTGGATTTTATTTTTGAAGGGCTAAATATTAGGCGTAAATTTGAATTTATATCAAACAAGATAATATAGTCACTGTAAATAAAAATAAATCAACGAAATTGCACATTTAGAAGTGAGCACTAGCTATGAACTCAAATAATAACATAACAATACATAGCGTGGTGGATAAACTTTACAGAAGAATAAATATATATCATATATCGTATTTTTCGACTAAAAATGAATGTTATTAAATTTCACATAAAAACAACTGCGCAATAGAGTTCATCTTCACAACTAGAAATATGCATCTAATAAAAAATAATATTATGTTATTTTGTTTTAAAAAAAAAAAAATTATTTATAAACAAAACCAGTAATTACAAGAAGCAAAAGGAAAATATTTTTATTACTATTTTAGTCTCAAATATACCACATAAATCAACACATGATATTGCACTACTTCATTTTCAAAAATTCGTCAAAATCTAAAAATTTTGAACAGTCAGAATTAAAAATACTAATTTGTTAATTAATGGAGGAAAAATAGATATTGGATTAATTTTGGCCTTATCTTGAGCAAAAAGACAGATTGCTTTTTTGCAGGAGTAATTCACCCGTGAAATGAGACTGAATTTTTAAAAAATATGTTTTTGATAGGGTTAGGTTTTCAACGGTAAAAAAAAAAAAGTGTTTGAAAAGGATAATTATTCTGCTAAATTGATTTTTCAATGGAATATAATCAAGAAACTTTTCAATTGCCAATCATAAAAGGATTGTTAAGTGCTCATGAATAATTTGTTAGATTAAAGGGGCCCACAAATAATCATTATATATGTAAAGAAGAATTTTATTGGGGGCGTACCGAATATTTTTTTTTCTATTGGGGGCTAAAATACTAGTACTCAACGGGCCTATTATTTGTTTGAAGTATTCGATTTGAGTGGTATTAGAAATTATTTTTATTCTATTTCTATCAAATGATATATTATATCTGATCTTAAATTATTATTCTATCTTTTCCCTCGTTTGTTTGTTCAATAATCATTATAGTAGATTCCACAAATAACCCTTTTTTCTATCATATCTTATATAACAAATTTATCATTTTACCCTTAATATCATTCATTCTATTCAAAATAATTTAAAAAAAAATTAAAAAAAACTGGTAACATTGTAGGCTTAAACAAAAAACAAGGAAAAAATTCAAAATAATATTTTTTTTAAAAAACCGGTAACATCGTATGCTTAAACATAATACAAAAAAAAAAATTCAAAATAATTTTACAAAAAAAACTGAAAAAAAAAACCGTTGACATTGTACGCTTAAATATAATACAAGAAAAAAAATTAAAAAAAAAACTGTTTACACCGTACACTTAAACATAATACAAGGAAAAAATTTAAAATAATTAAATTTTTTTTTTAAAATAAACCGTTAATACTGTATGTTTAAACATAATAAAAAAAAATTTAAAATAATTTTTTAAAAAAAAATTAAAAAAAAACTGGTGACATCCTACGCTTAAATATAATATAAGAAAAAAATTCAAAATAAAATTTTTATATGTGAACCCTTCACATAGGAGGGCATTTGTGTCATTTTATTCTCTTATACCTCAATTTCATTTGTACCAAAAATATAATACCACCAGGTAGGTGGTATTGTTTAGCACCATATACTGACATAAAAGTTATTAGTCAATATTATGACCCGAAAAATAATACTAAATAAAAATTATTAAACAAACAAGATATAAGGTAGACTTCATGTACTATTTTCCTTATACTACTCATATCCCTCAATAAAACAGGGCCTAGGGGTTCTAAAAAATCTTGGGGGGGGGGGGGAGGGCATGGCCCCCTTAGGCCATGGTGAAGCTCCGCCATCGTATGTCAAGAAATATTTATCCACAAATGAAAAAAAAAAATTCATTTCCTTGAATATGTAGTGAAAAATATGTATCCACAACAGACAATTCATTCTTATTAGTCTAATAACTTGCCAGTTGACACATAAGGATAGATAGCGGGGAGTGAGATTCTCGCTAATATACTTTCTCCTCTTTTTATCCCATCATTGTATTCTGTGGAATCCATTATACACAAATGAGCCCCTCACTCATAGTAATAGATTGGTTGAGATATTCCACCATTATTTCCAAGAAAAGACTCCAAGATCCTCAGAAAATGGTTGCTAAATCCCCATATGTCATTAAGAGTTGAATCATCGAGTACACAGCTTTCGAATTAAGAAGAAGAGGAAGAGGAGGAGACCAAAAAATACACAATCTGAAAAAAATGACAAGAACACAACATGGGCTTCTGTGTATAAGAAGTCAATCACTTGTTCACACAAGTATTACTGGAATATTACCAAAAAGTGCCACCCCATTATTCAGCTAGGTACAAGCCATGAAGTGTATTACTTCATTGACATCCATTTGCTTAATTCAAATTTCTCGTGCTCCAGTTCAATGAACTCCTCAGCCTCAACATTGATGTCTTCTTCATACACCTTTTGATTACAATTCTTATCATATTCAGTAGCATGCTTATGATTACACTTCTTACCATATTCAGTAGCATGCTTATGATCCACTGCTTGAACCTTCTTTGGAGCCTTTGGCGCAAGTGCCTCAAAGCCGTGGGCTGTCACATAAATATTATCATATGGAGGAGCATCAAAGAGCTTATGAGGCTTTGCCTCCATTGTTGAAGCATAAACCTTTGCCTCGGGGCTCCTGTACTTCATTTTCTGTGGCTCTTTGCTTGGGTTATGGTGGCAGAGGAAGGCAGGCACTCAATTTGTAATGCTGATAGTTGTGCCTGTGACAAATATGCATAGTTTCTACTGCATTTATAGGCTACTGTTATATACGTGAACGATCAGAGAGAATCTGATACCCTTTTTTTTTTATTACAATCAAGCTTTGACTGGGCTTATATTTTGGACCCAAAGCAGGAAAAATCGAATAAAGTTTCTTCAAGGAGGTAGAATATTAGAAATCTCTTGTGCATAGAAAGCTAAAAAGATTCCTTTTTGCTTGGTTATGGTGGCAGAGGAAGGCAGGCACTCAATTTGTAAAGCTGATAGTCGTGTCTGTGACAAATATGCATAGTTTCTACTGCATTTATAGGCTACTGTTATATACGTGAACGATCAGAGAGAATCTGATACCCTTTCTTTTTATCACAATCAAGCTTTGACTGGACTTATATTTTGGACCCAAAGCAGGAAAAATCGAATAAAGTTTCTTCAAGAAGATAGAATATTAGAAATCTCTTGTGCATAGAAAGCTAAAAGGATTCCTTTTTGCTTGGTTATGGTGGCAGAGGAAGGCAGGCACTCAATTTGTAAAGCTGATAGTTGTGTCTGTGACAAATATGCATAGTTTCTACTGCATTTATAGGCTACTGTTATATACGTGAACGATCAGAGAGAATCTGATACCCTTTCTTTTTATCACAATCAAGCTTTGACTGGGCTTATATTTTGGACCCAAAGCAGGAAAAATCGAATAAAGTTTCTTCAAGAAGATAGAATATTAGAAATCTCTTGTGCATAGAAAGCTAAAAGGATTCCTTTTTGCTTGGTTATGGTGGCAGAGGAAGGCAGACACTCAATTTGTAAAGCTGATAGTTGTGTCTGTGACAAATATGCATAGTTTCTACTGCATTTATAGGCTACTGTTATATACGTGAACGATCAGAGAGAATCTGATACCTTTTTTTTTTATCACAATCAAGCTTTGACTGGGCTTATATTTTGAACCCAAAGCAGGAAAAATCGAATAAAGTTTCTTCAAGGAGGTTGATTATTAGAAATCTCTTGTGCATAGAAAGCTAAAAGGATTCCTTTTTCCTTGGTTACCGACCTGAATTCATTAGGAAAGGCAGCCACCAAAATTGAATACTGGGTTCTATTTGAGGCAACTCCAAATTAGGCACAACTTGGTTAGTTCAAGAGTTCAAGCAAGCTCTGCGGCTACTTAGCTTTCAAACATATCGGTTTATTCAAGGATAAGACTTATTTCAGGCCATCCGAATGCATAAGACGTAAGAGTTTTGTTCTTTTCTTATACTTTCCCTAGAAGGTTGAAGGCTCATTGAACTCAATCTGATACAGGTTCAACCTCCAGAGCTTGCAGCAGCAGCAGATAAAGTAGATTTTTTGTTATGGAATTTGTGTCTTTAGAATTGGGAATCAGATTCCAAAGCTGAGATGATTATTGGTTTGAAAATCTCTATCACAGATGAAAGAAGGCTTCGGGTCAAACCAGCCTAGCTTTCGGATTTCTTATCAGCAATCTCTCACCCTGTCTTCTGAATGCATTAAGTATTCGCGTTGGACACTTGACATCTCCGTACAACCTACTAGGAGAAGATTATTTGGAAATTCTCTGCTTGAATGTAATCGTACATCTAAATCTGCTTGTAGTTTTCTTCATCATGACCCCAATCCTGTTTCCAACTCTGACCATAATCCTGATTCCAACTTTGGAATTTGGAATAGGGTTTGGAAGCTGAAATGCTTCCAAAAGCCAAGTTATTGCACGTTTGCTCATGGTTTTGTAGGATAACTCAAACGCAAAGGGATTTAGATATAAGCCCTATTTTAGAAAGACAAAAAGCCAATTACTTATTATGAACCTATGTATCAGATCAGAGATTTGGGAAGAAAAGAGCTAGTCGGACAAAGGTGAGAGTCCACTGAATGCTGTCAAATTATGAAGAGTCAATGCCATAGTATGCCCTTTCCTGTAAAATTTTAGCAACTGGGCTGAAATTTAACACTAGAACAAGACACCAAATGTATATTTGCATATCAATTATTCTATTACTTATCTGTCTTTGCTTATGCAGCAAATACATTATTCAGTAGATAGTACACACCTTGAACATCATTTAGGATGGAACTTTAGCTAATGCCAATCCCCTTACATTAAGCATACTTCCTATATTATGCATCAGTCTCGTGGGATGTCTGTTCAGTCATCCACCCCTTTAAGGATCCACTCCGCCTTGGGGTAGCCATTTTGCGGGCTGTTGGAATTCTGATAGTAAAATGGGTTGCGTTCACGCTCGTTACCCGAGCTTGAATACTCATATTTCATTGCCTCTATTCCACTGGGAACAGGTTGCGGAACATGTTGTAAATAGCTTGCCGTGTACCCAGTGTTCCCCGTGGGGTTGCTGTGTTTGCCACCGGAAGAAGCATAACCGTCGTTCCCGTTAGAAGGCAACATCTGGCCCTGTGAGCCATGGCTGTAGTAGTAGTCAGTTGTGTTGTGCATGCCATTTGGGGGCTTGTTTTTGCCATACGAGTCATCATGCAGCTGAGCATAGCCTCCACCAGCTACCATGTGATGGTTAGGGTACTGAGGGGTGGTAGCACATGGGTTGATCATCACCGGCATGCTCAGAGGAGGGGTGCTGTAGTTGTCATTGGTGGAGTAGTACCCCTGCTGTTGCACAGAATATCCCTTCTGTTGGTAACCATAACCAGGATAGACCTCAGATTGGAGAACCATTTTTCTTTGATGTTTTTGGACTGTGATGTTCTTCGAGTTTCGAAATGCTATTTATAGAACTACCTTTTGTGATTCCAAGTCGATAAGAATGCATCTCATTCCCCTCCTATTTGGACGGCCATGTCGAAAATTCTGCACTTCTGGCGGTATCAATGGAAACCACAATCAATTCAAAAGGAAAAGTTATCTCCCCAAGGAATCTGATCTGATCATCTTTATCACCGAATCACATTCAATGCAATGATCATGGCAATGTTACCTTCACAATTTAAAGACATGACATTACTTCAATTAGTACTACTACTACCTCAATCAACCCTCAAATGGTATATAATTCATGAAACTTGATGATGTTCTTTGTTATATTTTACTCTCCAAGATTATCTCCGCTGCATGTCATGATTTCAAGTCCTCTTGGCTACTGTGCGTGCAAGATCCTGCACAATATAAAAAACGGGGACAGCTCTCTCCCTTGGTGAACTTTGAGTATGCCGGTTGAGTGACCAACCACGCCGCTTGGAACAGCCTGCGAGGTCTGGTGGTTAATTGGGACGGCAACGGGAGACCCTGGGTGAGAGGGAAAACGATCCAGTAAGGCTGAAAAAGGATCCTGGAACAAAGAAGAACAAGTTAGAAGGGCGCCGGAGTATTTTCCGGCGTATCCCCTCCGACGGTCTAGTCAGTCTTTGAGTGAGAGAGAGGAAGGAGAAAACACTGAGAAAAATATATTGTGGTAGGGAGTTTGTGATTGCATCCCCGTCTTGCCTTTTGCAAGGAATATTTATACCTTAAAAGCTCATGATTGCTGTCAGTGTGGTCAGTAGGTGATCATTAGGTGCAGGTTGCGTGTGCATTGATTCTGATGAGGGATGTCTTCTCTAATTGACTGCTCGGGGTCCCGAGCAATTAATGCCGAGTCGTCGGGATGCCGACGGTACAATATGCTTCTCTCGGGGAGGATGCAATAAATGCTCTGTAATAGGAGCATTTATTGCCTTTCACTTCCGAGCCTTACCGCATTGAATACGGTCTCATCAAGGGAATGGTGCAATTAATTGTTTGCTTTCCCAAGCCGCGTGTCAGCAACGGCGTGCAGTTCGTCTGTCTTTGATGTGACATCATTTGCCACGCGTCCATCCCTTATTGGCTGTGACCTCTGTATTCCAGTATGTTCTGACATTACTTGTGTAAGACGAGGTCATGATGAACAGCCTAGACTAGACTAGGCTAGTGACGTGTACGTCAATAGCTTATCTCGGAGTAGATGAAGCGTCCAGGACGGAGTAACTCTCGGCACCGAGGAAAGACTCGTCTCGGGGACCGAGAGAGGTATGCGACCGAGGTACATAGATGACCGAGGACACGTGTTGGTTGTAAAAATATACTGAATGCATGATCCTATATATGAGGTACCTCGGGGGCGAGGACATTCGTCGCCGATGGTGCTTGATCCAAGCAACAGTGTTTTAGCAAAACCAGGACACGTGTCTTCATCATAGGGTTTTTCAGAAAAGTCCCATCAACTGCCCCCCAGCATTCGATCTTCTGACACCGAGGACACGCGTTGTAAGGAGACGAAGGGTTTCCCAACTACCACCCGTCCTTCATCATGGCCTCGAGCCGCTTTCCCCGGCTTGGGATGTCGTGCGCATTAAATGCGCCGTTTCGGTCTTCGCGCCCAATGATGAAAATTGCCCCTATATAAAGGGGGTTCCTCTCCGGTTTCCTTCGTTTTTGCCATTTCAAACTTTCCTCAGAGTACGTCTTCTTGGATCTTCGCCGGAGTTCTCGTTTCTTCTGCCATCGTCGACTGCCCTTTCTCTCAAAATCACAGAGCCAGCAGACCCATTGTTGATTCCTGAACTTTCTGGAGGGAGTTGTTTTAAAGTTTTTCCAGAAAAACTCCATTTTTGACGTTCGGGTGAGTTTCAGAACCTTCTTTCTTATCGTCCTCCTAGCCTTTTTGTTTTCCGATTGAACGGTGGTGTCATCCGGTCGACACGTCGTGATTTAAACCCTCGGAAAACTTCCTCAGGGGTTTTCAAGAGCAAATACCCTTTTCTTCCTTTTTTTAGAGATGCCTCGTCGTCGCCCTGCTCCCGAGAATCCTCAGGCTGGTTCTTCGAGGTCAGGGAAATACAAGGTGAAAGGGGAGGAGCAGATTGATAGGTTTAGAGCCAAGTACAGCATTCCTCCGTGTGTAGACGTAGTGGATTTTGACCCATCGGTGCACTCATCTATCCTCGGGGCCGAGGATTCCATGCCTTTCTATACCAAGGCCATCATAGAGGGTGGAATTAGGTTTCCTTTACCCCCCTGCTTCTTCAGTTCCTCTCCCGCTTTCGCCTCTTCCCCGGGCAATGCTGCCTCAATGTCTTCCGAATAATCACGGGGGTCTTAGAGCTCAATAGGCGCCTCGGGGTAAATATTGGGCTCAATGATCTCCTTTTCTGTTATTCCCTCCTTAGAGTCATGCCTCACCAACACTTCTACCTCAAAGCCAGGGACCCTTCCATGTACCTTGTAACCCATCTTCCTGACTCGGACAAGGGGTACAAGGACGATATCCTAATCTTCAAGGGATCTTGGCAGAGAGGTGTTGGTCCCGAGTACAATCACTTATTATGCCCTCTGGGATGGAGAACGACAAGTACGTCGGTTCCTTCGGGTTTCTTATTTGTTTCTCGGGACCTCCCATGTTTATGACAACTTTTTTGTTTGTGCAGATATTCCTGCTCGGGAAACAGCTCCTCCTCCTCGGTCGCTGGTGAACTTTGCCGACCTAATCACGGTTTGGAGGTTCACGGGTGACAACGGGTTTGGCCGTGCTGCTCATATCCTGCTGAACTATACCCCTGGGTATAAGAAGTTTTCGCAGCTTCCGCAGCCTTTTGAGCCTTCGCAGTGGTCTGAACTCTTCGATCAGGCGGCGAGGCTAGAGGTTGAGGAAGACTTGGAGGAAGACCCGGATCGGGCTTCTGAGGCAGAGGTAGAGGGAGTTGCTGAGGAGCTCGGGGTCAGAGAGGACGCTGTTCCTTCAGACGCCGAGGTGGGGACTTCCGGGGGAGACTTGTGGCCAGACTTCCAAATCCTTCAATCTTTGGACGCCGAAGACGCTCTCGAGGCAGCGATGTCTAACGCCCCTCGCATTGATTTGGGGTTCCTTAGGCAGAGGCAAGCCCTCGCAGCCGGGAGAGGTCGAGGGACGACCGGCGGTACTCCTGCGGGGACCAGTTCTGCCACTTCTTCGAGGGTTCTCGGTCGGGGTCAGGTGCGAGACCGGGATCCTCAGGTGGAGGAGGAGAGAAGGGTCAAGCATCGGCATGACGGCCTTAGCCGGGGACCCAGGGCACCTCCCGCTCAACAGCAAAGCGGGAGGGATCGTGGATTACCCCCTGCTCCCCCACAACAGCAGCAGCAGCAGCAGCAACAGCCCCGACAACAGCAACAACAACAGCAGCAGCAGCAACAGCCCCGACAACAGCAACAACAACAGCAGCAGACTACTCCTTCCCTCCCGCCTACAGTGGAGGCCGCGGAGTGGAATCCCCGAGCCACTGATCACATGAACCGAGTGATCAGGGTCGACGATTCCATTCTGCAGGATCCTCATGTCGCCCATGCAGTGAGTGAGACACTGCATTTTGAGGCTGACATGGAGGCTCATAGGGGGCGATCAACCAACGTGTTGTTCCGCTCCATCATCCAGAACTCCCTGGTGGTGAGTTTATTTTTGCTTTGGTTCCTTCACTCTTGTTTTCCATTTTTGTGATTTAACACTTTTTCGTTCCTTTGCAGGCTACCCAGCAGATCTCCGTCATAGCTGCTCGGTACCACGGGTCTAGGATGGACCTCCAGAGGGCCCGAGGTCAGAAGGAGGAGGCGGAAGCGGCCCTCGCCCGGGCAATGGAGGATGTAGCTGCCCGGGATTCTACCCTGGCGGGGCAGGCTGCTCAAATAGAGCAACTCCTCAAGGACGCCGAATCGGCCAAGGTGGGCGCTGAAAAACTAAGTGCCGCACTTGCCGATGCTGAGAGGAGGATTACCGAGCAAACGCAGCGGCTTTCTGCTGCGGAGGAGAGGGCAGTGGGCTCCGAGGAAAGCTGTCTGGCCCTTACCCAGGAGCTAGACAGGATCAGGGCCGAGGAGCTGAATAGGAAGTCGGAGGAACAACTCCTGGAGGAGTTTGCCGATGACGTGCTCCCCGCTCTTGAAGAAAACAGCAAAAAGTTCTTCAAGAAAGGGTGGGACGAGGCGCTCCAGGCTGCTGGAGTCCCATCAGACTCCCCTCTCTTCCAAGTGCACAAGTATGTGCCCTCGGCAGAGATGGCACAGGCAGAAGCACAGGTTGCTGCCGAGGATGAAGCCCCTACGCCGATGCAGACCTCGGCTGATGCTCCCGAGGCGGTGATAGTGGACTTGTCCGAGGACGCTCCGTCGGACCATGCTCCTGAACCTCAAGTTGCTCAAGCTGTTCCCGCTGCCGAAGTTCTTCTCTTGCCTGCTCCAGAAGCTTCTCAACCATTTATCGCTGACTCGCCCTCGGCTGAAGTTCTGGAGATGCCTGGAGCCCGATGAAGCTGCCTTGTTTTTTCTGATTGTATCCCTTCTGCTTTCCTTTTGTAGCCTTCGGGGACGCAAAGCCCCTATTTTTGGAAATAAATAACAAGTTTTTCTTTCCTTCTGCTGTGTATAGTAATGTCTTTCTTCTCTTTTTTTTTTTTTTTTTTTTGAACCATCTTCGGGGCTGCTCGCCTATCTGAGAGCCAAGCTCTTGTGCTGCTCCGGGGACAGGAGTCCTTGTACTCCGCCCCCAGGGCCTTGTCCTTCTTGGATGCTTGTTCCTGCATTTGCTTCGGGGACAGGAGTCCTTGAACTCTGTCCCCAGGGCCGTACCCTTGCAGGAGGCTGCTCCCGTATATGCCTCGGGGACGAGAGTCCTTGAACTCTGTCCCCAGGGCCATACCCTTGCAGGAGGCTTGCTCCTGTATGTGCTTCGGGGACGAGAGTCCTTGAACTCTGTCCCCAGGGCCATACCCTTGCAGGAGGCTTGCTCCTGTATGTGCTTCGGGGACGAGAGTCCTTGAACTCTGTCCTCAGGGCCTTACCCTTTGTCTTTGTT